ACTGTAGAAATTCTGTGTATTACAAAAAAGTTGTATCGAGAAAGAATAAACTGGTTTAATCAAGGAAGGACTTGTATTACTGAAGTTCCTCAGAAAGAATATCTACCGGAAATGATCAAACAAGCAGATACGTAACAATACTTCTTTCTATTATTTTCAACAACCACTACATGTAATTTTCAACACAGTAAATTGTAAGTTCATAATTGACAAAAACAATGCGAGAGAAAAATATATAATAAACTCAAAACTGTAAGCAAACTAACTGAAAGATTAATCAAGAAAAAATATATAAAATTGGAAACAAAGCAAGTGAAAAATATGTCCAAGTAATAACGTGCTAGTCAAGAAGGTGAGGTACACAGAATGTAATACAAAGAGAGCCAGCTGCTCAAGGAGTGTGTGTGTGTGTTGTCCACCTAGTGGTGGAGGTTTTCACATGTAGTATGCAAGCTAAATGAGCAGCAGGAACCTAGACGTATAAAAAGGCTAGTGCATTTGGTGAGAATTAAGATGTTAGAGGGCAGTCCAAGACCAAAAGAAGTTTGATATGTGAGAGAAGGTATGTATCAAAAGAACAGCACGTAAATAACATACACTTTTGGAAAACAATCAATTTTTCTCACAAATATTATACTGATTTTCAACAAATGTTCAAAAAAGTTTAAAACAGAGCACCTAAGGACTTGACTGTTTAGAAAATCTTATAAGCTAAGAACAATATTAGAGGTAAAGATATGGGTAATTCAACTTACCATTTTCAGTGCCTCCCTCCTAAGTTCCCATTGATTCCACTGGTAGTTAAGGTCAATATTACTTGTGAGAGGATGAGTGTCTGTTTGAACAGCTGAATCTATCTTTATCACTGGTTTATTAGGATGACTACTGTTTTTCTGTTCATGGATAGAGTTACAATATATAGGATTTTTGATAACTTAAAACACTTAATAATGTTTCTATAACACAGTCATTTAATTCTTTTTTATTTTTCATCTTTTAAGACATAAATTATTTGTATGTTAAAGGAGAAACATAAATTTTTTAATTTTGAAAATTTCCTAACTTTATCTCTATATACTTATCCTTCTGAGCAAAAACAGTTGATGCTATTGTTTTAACACAAAGGTACACAATGGGCTATCTCCACTCTATTGACTGTGGGAAAATTGAACTCTGAATTTTAAAGGTGCAAGTAACAGCAGAAAAACAATGTACATACATATTTTTTCATACTTTTCCTACTGTTTTCATGCTCCAAATTACAATAAATTGCACAATATGAACATTAGAAAATACTACCTTTATTTTGTTTTCCTCAACTTACATGATCATTGACCTTTAGTAATATATATAATTAATAAGATCTTACAAAATGAGAAAAGCACTTTCTGTACAAGCGAACACTGGATTGTGGACGTACACCATGTATATAATCATAGATATGTCCTGAATATGGTTTATGCACCATGTTATTAAGACGATACGGCTTCAAATTCTCAAAATACAAACCATATTTTCCCTTTCCACACGGGTCACAGGTGAAAGGCCATGTTATCTTGTTTGTTGGCTCGCATTCAAAATTTTATTGAACTACTATTTCATGAATTTATGCCAATAAGTTTGGTATCAAACTGTAGATTATAATTCAAATTTTAGAACTATTCATTACTTAATTTGTTAATTTAAAAGTAAATATTCAAAAAACACAGATAAACATCTATTTTTGTGTGTCACGTGGTATGTTGAATACAGCACTGGTTCAAATTAGATGTTTGTTAAATCAAAATACTAAGTCTATAGTTTCATACGAACTGGAAACTCAAATTAAAGGTATTGAAAAGCTAGAATATCAAATAAGGTCTTATCTTTTTTAGTTGCTGAGATATTGCTCACATAATAAATCAAACATAGTGGCACCCTACTCACCTCTGTCCACTTTTTGGTAACACTCCATTATACACTTACTTCTATATATGACATGAGTAACCAATTGGAAGCTCAGAATGTCACTCTAGTGGTTTTCTCAACCTTTATAACATACCAAACACCATTTCTTTCTTTTGAACCAAAATGTCAATGAGGTATGTTGTGTCTTTAGTCTACTCAAAATTTCATATTTTTAGACCCAAATACAGCTTAGTTACTAAGTTTGATAAATTACAGTAGAATTCTATGGTATTGATATAGTAATTTATGATTTTTTTTAGTCATTCAAAAATATATATAAAACCTAAAAAAATATTTTGTTGCATATCCTCCACATGCAAAATTTTTAAAGACTTAGTAACCTATGTCAAGCAGCAACCGAGTACAAAGGTCGTAAGTAGAAGAGATAATTGTTTG